AAAAAAAAATGTGTATGTTCATGTATAACTGAAAAATTGTGCTCTACACTGGAATTTGACACAACATTGTAAAATGACTATAACTCAATAGTATAATGTTAAAAAAAAGAGAGAAGGGATTTTTTTTTCATTTGTTAGTGGGTTTTTTTTTTAAGTGGGGAGAAGCTTGAGCATGTTTAATTGCTAATGGGAAGGCTCTTGGGAGAAGGGTGGAGAAGGGGTCATTCACTGACCACATTAGCACGCTGAGAAGGTGGGAGAGGAGGCTATGGAAAGCACAAGCAGAGGGCATTTCCTCCTCCATAATGAGAGATCCAGGCAGGAGGGAGGTGGAGACAAGAGTCGTGAGTTGGAGAGTGAGCAGTTGAGCAAATTCCTGTCTTATGGCTTCTATCTTTGTGAAAAAGTGAGATTATCCGTTGAATTAGACCAAAAGTGGCATATGGGCAGTTAGGCATCTCAGAAAACTGAAGGAAGATTTGGTTTGAAATCTTAATTTCAGAGAACGAGAGAGTATGTTGACTGGAGATGTATAGAAAGTTTGCCCAGGTGAGGTTGGTATTCATGGATTTACAGTGTACTCAACCAACCTGTTGTGTGTGATTTTCCCTCTACAGCACCTAGATCCCCTGATGTAGGCATAAAGAAAGCCAACAGTTGGATTAGGGTTTTGACAAATGAATACCAACCAAATCAAAAGGGCAAAGATAATAAACACTCCTTATTTATTAAAGATTCATCCACCTCCACCCTTCTATCATCTTCAAGATCCGTCAGGATTCTCTATATATAATTTTTTCATTTATTCACATTTCATAAATATTTGCATATTCTTCTTGCTAATCAGCCTGAATAATCTAAAGAGAGGGGAAAAAATAACTTGAAAGGTTAGGGATTGGGATGTGAGGGAAGGGAAAGAGCTAACACTTGTTGAGCATTGGCTATTACACTAGACATTTACAAACTCAGTCTCATTTGTTAGGGAATGGGCAATCACTATTTCCTGATTATACTCCTCTCTAACAAAATTTCAGCCAAGTCATAACTCTTCCTTTCTGAGACCACAGGATTGGTGGAAAAACTCACCTCTCTGAGATCATACACTGTCAAAGCTATGGAAATGATGGACATGATTATGATGGCAAAAGCATACTCCTTATAGTCTTCACTAAACCACAAACAGACACTGAAGAGTTGAAATATGTAAAATGGATTTAAAACCTGTTGGCAGACATAAAAACAGGAAGACAAGGGAGATATTTAGGCTTCACACTTAGCTATTCATTGACTTGCTTGTTGTTGTAATCATCTCCATGACACAAATCATCCCACACAAAATTCTTTTTTTTTTTAATGGAGGGACTGGGGATTGAACCTAGGACCTCATGCATGCTAGGTACACACTCCACCACTGAGCTATACCCACCTGCCCCCACACAATATTCTTATTCTTATTATATTTATGTAATTGCCATGTGTCAGACACTGCACTAAGCAACTTTACCTGAATTTACTCCTTTGATTCCCATAATTATCTTATTAACTAGAAGTTATTACTTATCTTCATTGTAAAGATGAGGAAACTGAGCCTTAGATCTTGAGAATCTTGCCCAAGATCACACAGCCACAATTGTCACAGACTAGGACTTGAACCCAGGCAATTACTTTTAATCATTGCTGCACCTTATAATTTACAAAGTACTATCTCATGTATCCTCAAGTTGGCCATCACCACAGTTGGGTAAGGAGTAGATATTATCATGTCCAATTTACATTTACTGGCCTTTAGAAGGGAGAAGTCATAGGTCAAGTTTACAAAGTTAAAACGCTTTCTAGTCTATTGTTCTTCTCCATGACACATCGCCATATCTGAAGCCATTAAGGCATTTTAGGTTAATGTATGCATTGAAGACTAAATTTTCTCATCAGTAGAGAGCCAAGCTGAAGGTGGTAATCTGCATGAGCACCTGGAACACTATGGAGAAAGTAGAGATTAACTCCAACAGTTGTAATCTTGCTTTGGTTAAAAACATTTTGTGCCCTTTCTCAAATTCCCTCTAGTTGATTTCCATCTGTCTAAACCAGGAACAGTAATCCTTGCCGCTGGTTAGGGAACAAGCACGCAGAGACTTTCCTTATCAGTTTCTTCTGCTTTCTTTCATACCTTTAAGCTTGCTAAAAATTTTAAGAAAGTAACTTGAGTTTAGTAAGCATTTTTGAAGGCAAGGAGGAGTGGAATTAAAGTGTAGGAGAGGACCCAGAGTACAGCTGTCTGGTTATAGTGTCGTAACAACCGCCATAAAATGAAAAATAAGCCCAGTGTTAAAGTCAAAGAGAAAAAAAATTCAGCTTGGTACATAAGGGCCAAATCTTTCTTTCCATCCCCACACATTGAGATCAATAGAACTAAGGCTGAACAGGTGTTTTCTTCCTACAATTCTGGATGCTGAGGAAATTGTATCTGTTGCCCATCAGAAAGGGATTGAGGTGTTTAAGTTTTATTACTTTAGTTTCACAAAGTTGAGACAGGGGATTAAAAGTATAGGATTAAAAAAGGAAATAAAGAAAAGAAACTTTGTGCTCATCCAGTCTTTAAAGGATAGGCAGACACATAAGCATCAAATCTTACACTGTTAACAGGCAATGTGTATGCAAAATGGACTCCAAGAAAGAGTCGAGGTATGAATACACTTTACATTCTTTTTAAATATCCTAAATTACAGTTACCATTAACAAGTATCATTCTTGGTCGCTTGACTAGAATCAAACTTCTTTATCTTCTAACCAGCACCAAAATACTGATTACCTCTTTGATGAGCAGTTTCCAAATTGGTGTGATTTCAACATCGATAGTGTTTGGTCCACATATTAACCTCCTGTGGAAAGAGATCACACATCACTTCGTTACTAATAATAAAAATGAAATATATTTCTCACCCATTCAAAAAAAGATCTATTCCATGTTCACTTTCTCACTTGTGGGGCCAACATAAGCCTCCTTTGTTATATTCCATCCCCTCCTCTCTCAGAATAACTTGGAAGGGGGTTAGTTTCCAGGTATAAAAACAATAAGCATGATCATATTGCATTTGTTGAATTAGACTCTTTCTGAGGTCTAAATATTTCCCTGATGGTAGTTTAGGTGTTTAAATTTAGCCATGGTTCCATTCAAGTGGTTTCAGGATTGGCACTCTCTCCACTCTGTCTCTCCCCAACTCTGGCTCCGTGAATGTGGAATGGAAGACTCATTACGAAAGAACAGTTTCACTGACAAGGGATACTGTACCTACTTCCCTACTCCTATTCAGTTCTGGGAAGCTGCAGAATTGGTTTTAACGTGAACGAAAAGGTGTTGGGCTCTCAAAAATAGCTCCACAAGGAGTTCTACGGTCCTTTAATTGAAAACTCAGAGATGTGTTTCTTTGATTATGTCAAGAAATGACCCTTTATGGGTTATTTTGTTGTTGAGAATGCTGAATACTTTATCGTACCTCTTACATAGATGTGTAGACCAAAGAGCTTAACAGAATATATCATGAAAGTACTTCTCAACCTTTAATATTCATACAGATAAATTTGTGATCTTGTAAACATTAAAATTCTGATTCAAGAAGGGTGAGGTGTGGTCTGAGATTATGCATTTCTAATAAGCACCCAGGTGATGCTGATGCAGCAGGCTCTGGGTCTCTTCAAAGTACCATCGAACCCCACCCCAAAATGGGGAAAGGAGGATTTGAGGATCATAGAAACTTAGGACTAGCAAGGCGTTTACAGAGCTCTTCCCTTTTTTAACAATGAGGAAACTAAAGCCCAGCAAGGAGAAGCTATTTGCTCAAAACAACACAATGAATTAGTGACAGACTCTTGACATTCAACCAAGTTCCCTTCCCAGGTCATGCTTCTCTGCCCAGTAACTGACTGAGGATTGTGGAGCTACAAGTCTTGCATGATATCCTTCTGCTGCTCTACAATTATTATTTATTTAACTGTGTTATCATAGCATAATGCATATTTCCTGATTACAGTCAAAATTGGTTCAACCTATCATTATACTAACTTTGAGAAACATTATACAGAGTAGAAAGGGAACCAAACCTAGAGTCAGAGTGTGAGACGCAATTCTTCCTCTGTCACTTCATCTGTGAGACCTTGTTTAGGCCATTAAACCTCTCTGAGTCTCAGACTTCTCATCTGTTATATTGAGATGAGGATGTCTATTCTAACTCCCCCCCAAGGTTGCTTTGATGAAGTGAAATAATTGGATAATACTAAACAGAGCATTCCAATGTATTCTGGTATTGATCAGTTAAGATAACTGTTTACTGGTCTGTCTACCTGGCTAACTGGTATTGGCCCTTTGGATCTGGTGTAGATAACAAGAAACAAGGTACCTAATCTCTTGTTCTTCTGTTGTTAAACCTGATCCAAATTTTAGATGTATCTTGGCAGAACTGAGCCAGTCTTCCAAAGAGCTAAAGTAATAACAATGAAAAAGACATAGTTAGCAATAATATTTTTGAGATAACTTTTTTCTTCGTGAATGCGATTGCTCAACTTACCCAATTTTCTGGAACTGTCCTTCTAAGTTGTTCCAAACATATCTTATTTTCTGCACTTTTATACATCTCACCTACAAAAGAAAAGTACCAAAAAGTCTCTAGTCTGAGGATCAGTGGATACACAGGAGTTCATGGCCAAAGAAACACTTGTGGAAGAAGCCTGGATGTGTTTGTTGTCTTGGCTCACCCTGGAGCCTTGAGTTTCTTGCCTCATACCTTCCTCCCCTTTCCAACATTCTCTGCAATTTTGCAAATAGAGCTGGACTGTAATCATAGCTACTGTTCACTGAGTATTTGTGGGGTTGACTTTTTCATTACTCCATGGTAGGGAAGATATTATCTTCATCTTTCCTTTCCCCTTAAGTTCATTTTGATTAAGTAACTTGCCCAAGAGGACACCTATTAAGAAAAAGGGCTGGAAATTGAACTCAAGGCCATCTGGCCCCAAAGTCTAGTGTCTCAAGGATCTAATAGTTAAACTGGTCTCAGAGGAAGGTCTGAGATTCCTGTAACTTCCACTATTCAAGTTGTACTGAGTGAGAGCTGCCTAGTTCATTAATTCTCTAAGTTCAAAACTGTAAGCTAGAAAAAATGTAAAGGCCAAAGATGGTAGATTGTGAGATCCCTGCTCAATTAGAGAACCTATCAATAGGCCATGGAACCACAAACTGCGATTGGCAAATTTATGACATAATAGACACAAAATGGCGGATGAAGACAGCTATGGTAAAGAATAAAGAGGTGACTGCTAAGTTTCACCTCAGACCACAAAATGGAAAACCCCATTATCTCCTGACAATTCCTGACGCTATTCATCACAGAGTGAGAAGAGTGACTCCATCATGGACCTCTTAAATACCTTTGCGATTCCCCTAGCAGGAAACATCTCTGCCTGGAGTATCTCTGCTCCCTTCATCAACTTCCTAGGCTCTGGAAGCCAGTAAGAGGCTGTTAAGCATCATATTTGCAAGAGGTGGAGTTTATCTGTCCATTTTCTGGAACTTCAAACCAGGAAACAGCAATTAAGAAATCAGGAGTCAGCTGTGGGATGATTTCCATCTTTCCGCTCAGAACCAGGAATTGTTTCCATCCCCAGGCTTCCCACTCTTCACTGCTTGTTGGAACAAGTTATAAGAGAATCCTGTTTAACAAGTTAAGCACTGGGTTTCAGTTTTGCACGTGATCCTACAAACTGGCCCTTGGAGTCTCCTCTTAGTCTACGTTTGCTACAGTCTCCAAACTCCCCCTACGAGGCCCTGAACGGTTACCATTTTGGTTTTGTGTTATTACTGTTATTGTCATCATTGTTGCCACAGCTAAGCCTGTGACACATCTTCCAATTTTAATAAAAGTTTCAGTCCTTTATATGAATACACCTCATGATCGCTCACCAATCACCTGAGTGTCGATCTTCTCATTTTAGGTTCACAACAGTCCTGAGAAACAGGCAGAGAAAGTGTTACTACTCTTATTTTATCAATAAGAAACTCAAGGCTCGGGGAGGCAGTAACCAACCAAGCTCCCTGTGCTATATGCTGGTAAACGAAGCTTTCAAGCCTGTGTGCCAGGACTTTCCATTTCACAACTTCTGCCCCTTCCTCATATTTTGCTTGTTTTAATATTCTTCTTTTGTCTGTCCACCTGTTTGTTTATGCAGTTAAAGATTCTAGAGGTCAGCAATACTTTGAGGCCAGGCCCATGAGGCTGATTTGGGATGCCTGCTTCTCCAGGTGAACGGCCACCTAACAGATTAAGCAATCTGTTAGTTGGAGGCTCCTGACCACGTTTTGTTTGTTTCCTTTGGCAGTTAAGACAACTAGGTGATAACAATTGACAGTAGAGAAGCTGCTGAGCAATTGACTTTGGTTATTTAAAAAAACTGACCTTGAGCTCATAAAACCAGCTTAAACAACTGTCTACACATATATAAATTTAAGAGAAAGCAGTCTGTGTTATAAAATGTTTTAAATATGAATGTTAGCTAGTCATAACCCAAGTTGTATTGATTTAATATGATGAGAAGAGAGTAACCGAAATACATCTGAATGACAGAATACAAAATAAGGTCATTTGGCAGACATAGCAAACTCCCTGGATACTCCTGGGTGATAAACCCTGTTACATAGATCACAACACAAGGTATGATGCTACTAAGAGCTAGTATGCACTGAGCATCTACTAGGTACCTCCCACCACATTGATCTTTGTATCTGTTTGTTTTTATTGAATTTCATCAATTAATATTAGAGTAGGTATTATCATCTTTTTACACATGAGAAAACTGAGGCTTGGCCAAGTTGAATGGTTGATCCAAGGTTGCACATTTTAGAAGGATGAAGCTGAGATTTGAACTGAGCTTTGTCTGGCTCCAAAATCTGTATTCTTTATAATGTTCTACATTGTCAGTGAAAGATTGGCACAGCGGAGGATCTGAATTTAATCTTAAATTTGGAGAGAAAAAAGATTCAATTTCTCTAGCCCCTGCAGTAGCCATGAATGAGCTTACCTTTAGGTCTGGCTTCCTTATGGCTCTGTTGATGATATACTCCTCATCGGAGATGAGGGGGTGGTTGGGAGTGAGAGGAAATGTGCTGTTTAATGTGGACAGGCAGATCCACACTACCTTTTTCCAAGAGTAAGTCTGGAATTCATCCTGAGAAAATAAACACCAAAACCCCCAGGAAATTCAGAGAAGTCATCAGGCTAAAGTTCAACCTGAAAAGCATCATTTTAACATAATTCTGTAAGTTTATGGAGTTAATAAACATTCTAGATAGAATGATATGCCTTTGAAAGCTGGTAGACCCAGAGCCTTGAGAGAAAAAGTCTTGTCATCTGTTACTGAGAAACTGGGATGTAAATATGAGGCACTGGCCTGAGTCATGAGGCAAGTCTTAGGCAAGAGCTAGTTTTTCCTATTACCTTCCAACCAAGGGACTATGGCCAGATACAAATTTCATACTGAAAAAAACCCCAAAAAACCCCCAAAACAAGCAAGCATTCCAAAGTGTTTCTGCAGGTCTCAAAGGTTAAGAAACCAGGTCAGCTGAACCATCCCCATGTTTTGAGACTTGACTTCAATTCCACCTCTTCCAGAACAACCCTTTAACACTCCCTCATGGGGGTGGAAGCAGTGGGGGTGGGGGTCCTGTCACTATACTAACTCCAAAAGATTCTAAGACATCCAAGTGGATTTTATGTGTAGCATTTACCCATTCAGATAATAACCACTGTTATTATCACATCAGTTTGTAAGGGACCATTCCGGTCCCTGTTAATCTGCTGCTCCCTCTAGTTTTTTTCAGTGATAGAGTCATCAGTGAATGGAAAAGAGATGTGGCTTCAATTAGGGTCATGCATGAAGGTACCTTCCTCAATGATACCTGTGTTAACTTCTTGACAATTGCACATGGGCATGTTCAGTTCATGAGTTCAGTCTTTTCCCCTTTCATTCATCAGATTCTCACTGAGCAGTCGCAATTCTCCACATGGATGAGATATGAGGGACAGTAAAACACGGTCCTTACCTTCAAGATAAGCTAGGAGAACTAAGTGAATAATCCAAGGCAGAAGGTAATTGGGAGCACAAGAGCAGCCTGGTAAACTTCAGGAGCTAGGGAAAATGGCCAAGGAAGTCAAGCCTGGGAAACAACGTGGAGCCTGGGGAATAGAGGTCAGAGGTGAAGACTGTCTCCACCGCACCCACTTCTGCCATGGAGAGTGTCTGAGCTGACTCTTCAGAAAGCAGAGGGAAGGTACAGCAGGTGTTGATTCTCCTGCAGAGAAGCCCACCTCTGTGCCTTTGCTCTTGCTGCCTCCTTAGCCTGGAATGCACATCCTTCTCTCTTCTCTTTATGTCTTCATGGGGCCAGATCCTAACTATCCATCAGGGTCTGGCTCAAAGTTCACATCATGGGAACCTCTCTAATTTCTCTGGGTGATCTTTCCTCTATATCATCAGGGTACTTGAGATTTTTACCACATCCTACCACACTGCATCCCCCTTTGCCCCTTCACCTTATCACTTCTCTTGGACTGTGGGTAGGAAATCATGTCTGGTGCATGTCCTGTGCTCCTGCCAAGCTCAGCACAGATTCTGAGAAAGGAAGAGAAGGAGAGTGAAGAGAGAAGCTCAGGGAGGGAGAGGAGAAGGGAAAGCACAGCCAAGGAAGTAAGGAGGAGAGTGGAATGAAGAGGAAGGGAGGGAAGCAAGGGAAGAGAAAGGAAGGAAAAGGAGAGAAAAAGGGGGAAGGAGAGGAGGGGAGAGCAGAAACCTTAGTAGAAAGTTGAAAGTTAATGAATTAATTTTTAAAGTCGGTAAAATTGGCTCTTACCTCATTTTAAAACAAATTACTAAATCGAATCAAATCAAATGTGCAGGGAGTTACCTTCAGAGACTAAGAATGACCAAAGATGGCTACGTTTCCAATGATCAAGCCACTGAACTGGTGGACGTATTTTGTATACTGTGGACTATGTGGCCATCACCCCAGAGCACACCATGACGTAGCTCAGAAATACATAGCTTTGCTTTTGAGCACATCGGTGGCTCATGTTATGAGAAGAACTTTGAGTTTCTAATACTAACAGTAATAAAAATAGTTAATATTTATTTAGCACTTACTATGTTCTAGGCACATAATGCTACATGTGTATGATCTCATTTAAAGCTCAAAAACCCTATGAGGTAGTTGCTGTTCATTCTCCTCCCCATTGCACAAGGGAGGAAACTAAGGCACAGTTGGTAACTATCAGGGCAGGGATTTGACATTCTCATCCTGTAGCCCCTCCAAGGTCCCATCTTACCCTCTGCTCTAGTCTATGTTTTGTTTAAAAATACAACTTGATTGGATTCCCGTTATTATATCCAGCCTGAACTAAGATTGCCGAAGGACAAAGTTTCAGTGAAAAACTTGGTATGAAAAGCACATCATTTGTAGGTAAGTAAGAACACAAAAGACAAAAGGAGCATCAGCACCAGAGACCTCGGGTCACCAAGTGAGGACAATGATGAAGGTAACCTACTCTTGGTGCTCTTAAACGAAGCACAATAATACTAACTACTAAATTTCCAATGATTACTTAGCAGTTTACAAAAAACCTTTTGTGTCAGTTGTCTTCTTTTAGGATCACAATTCTCCAAAGTCAGTATTATCGTCTCCATTTTGCAGATGAGCAAACTGCCCACCCACAAGGCCACGAATTACCCAAGCCAGTCTGTTACGGGGAGTAAGAGAGAACAGAGACCTGAGACCAGGTCTTCCCACCCTGAATCTCGGCTCCTTCCTCTCTGTTTCAACAAGTCATCCCATGGTTTGTGGCTTATGTACAAAAATCACCTTGAATTCTGCTCTGTGTAACAAACAGCATCCAGTTTCTCAGAATCTCTGATCTCCTGGCAACAGAGAATCTGATTCCTAAAATCCAGCTGTCACTCTCTGGCCCTGTTACAACCACAAACAGACCTCTGGACTGTCTCTAAAACAGCAAAGGCAAAGTGGAACATTGGCACTCCTAAGTTCTCACGGGCCAGTGTTAATCCAATGTACCAACTGCATGCCTTAGTCTAGGTGGGTATTAAAGGATGAAAGTCGTCTTGTTACAGTTGGTAGCATCACTAAATTGAAGAAGGTGCTTGGATATATTTGCCTCTAAACTCACTTCCTGTCATTCCCTTTTACCACCAGGGTCTTTTAACTCATAATTCTGCATAATGCAAAGTAGAATTCCTTAAGTTAAATAAAGATGCCACAGTGAAACGTTTTTCTTGACTTTTCTCTTATTCACTACCCTTTTAAAGACTGTAAAATCATCCATAGTTTTTGAAAAACTCACCCACCTTTTTTGGGGGGCGAGGCAAAGAAGTGAAGGGACAGTGTGTCCCTAAGAAGCGGTCACTCGGGTGACATCATCGACTTCTCTGTGCTCAGCTTGGTGTTGTCCAGGATAGAAAGAGCACGGGCTCCTTTGTGAGTTCCAATCTCAGCTCCACACCATGTTGAAAAAAATCACTGCAATTCTCTGAACCTGATGTTTTTATCCAGGAAGTGGGGGGATAAAAGACGTGTCACGGATGTTTGAAGGATTACACGCAGTACTACTTAATGACCTGGTCCGGGGTCTGGCCCATAGCTGGGTGTGACAACTGCTGGTGACAGAGCTGTACCCCACTTCCATAGTGTGTTGTTCTTGGGATCTTTCTGTAAATAGAAACTTATTTTCCCTTTAAGGAAACTTTAGAGTTTCTAAGAGTCTATGTCTCTTTTCTGGAAAAGAAGTCTATTTACCTGGAAAAGGCTATTTCCATTTCTATCTGTTTCCCAGCTCTCTCAAGCAGTTAATGATCTTTAATAGCCCTTAAATGCACCAGAAGAACCACGACTTACAGTAATTGCTTTGTAATGCAAATAGTCCAAATTGTTTGCCTGATAAATCTGGAATTTTTAACACCTCAAGTCTCATTGAATAGACTTTACCTCCTCTTTACCAAGAGAATTAACCAGATCCACCTTTGAACTCTTAGAGTAGGACTTCAAATAATTTAAGAGTGGATTTCAAAGAATTGAATGTACACAGAAGACTTATGTTTGACCTGGACCGAAAGAGAATAGAGAAGCAAACTTGGGCTTTTTTTTAGTTCCCTGTGAACTTAAACTTTCTAAACCTGGGAATGCTAACTTTTATACTAAATAAAATGAGTGACCTTGCTTATTTTCCTTCAACTTTTTGCTATAACCTCCTCATCTCTTGGAATTCAAAAGGAGTGTAATGGTCACTCCACAAAATGCAGTATTTCTGAGCTTGCCTTCAGAGGAAAACAGTAACCCATTGCACAGTTCCGGACACATTAGGAAATCAGTATTTTTCACTTGGAGATGGATACACTGCCTTGGATCTGAGCAGGATCCTGACAAGAGCCCACTGTGGTCTGTCATCTCCTCTGGGGCCCCGGAACTCAGTGAGAAGTCCTCCTGGACTGAAACCTCCCACCTTGGTGGAGGTTCTCATATATCTGGGGGTCCTCCGTTGCCGGCTGCTGTCCTCCAGGCTCGCTTCCCATTTTGTATGTATTGTTCAAGTGGCCTCTGGGATTTGCTTCCCATTTTGTTTGGGTGGCTGACTTCTGCTCTTGGGATTTTGTTCACCATTTTTTTCCTGAATTTTCTTTTTAAAACACTGAGATTAAGACTCTGCAGAAGGCAACAATAATTCTAAGGGCCTGATGAAAATGTCTATGGTTATTATGGCCATTTTGAAAAAACATTAAAAAATAAATTCTGATCCTAAGGAAACAGAAGTGCTTCTAGAAGGAGCTTGCATCTCTCTCGCTGTACCTTTAGGACATAAATGTTCTACCTGGTCTTCTCAGGAAACTCTTATCTAGGCCATCTCTAATTCCTAAGACCAAAAAACAAAGGAAAAGAGGCCTTTTAACTCAAACTGCTAAAAGGACTCTCTTGCCCAAACAGCCTCCTTGAAATTGTCTGTCAAAGGCAGATACAAATCTTATAGTCTTTCCCACACATAATAAAAGAATTTGGTCCTATGAGGAAGGAGGCAGACATCATTTATTCCAATTATTATTTATAAACTAGTGACTTTTTTATTGTACCCAATTCATGACTAAAGTTTTAAAATGAAAACTAGGAGAAC